GAATCATTTAAGCCTCATAACTTCCTGGTGATTATACACATTTTTATATGTGGGTGAGTGTGGAAGATGAATTACAGATAACAATTTGAAGGCAACAAAAGCCTGTATTAGTGACTGCTTGTCTGAAGTACTGAACTCTTCTGCTTGTCATTAGGTTAACACTGAAGAGATACGGGTCTAACTGTGGATTTTCTAAGTGATTTTATGATCAAGTGGCTTTCCAAGTATAGCTAATGCTATCAGAGCTGTGATGTAGCACAACTACACCCAGAAGGACCCTGTACCCTGAGAAGTTCTGCTACAACTGACGCTTCCTTATAACATCTTCTAAGTCTGGCTCATTTCATCTCATTGGGGTCAGGACTTGTCATTTTGGGGTCCCCCTCTGCTTTATGATGAGCCTTTTTCACCTTGCCATGGATCTTCTTTTCTTGTTCCTAGTTGTCCTCCAGCTAGTTGAAAGAAGTGGAGTCAGTGTGGAAAAGAGCATTGTAACAAACATACAAGTGGTGTTTATCAGGAGGGCCCAAGGTGTCAAAAATGGACTGAAGGGGGGCCATCTAGAATACAGACCATATGCATCAGAGTGGTAGGTTTGCTGGTCTTATTCTCCTCACCTTGCAGTGTTTTAGGAAGAGAGAGGCCAAGAGAAGTGCACAGAGTTGAGTGGGAAACTGATGGCCCTGCCCTGGCAACAGACTGAAACCCCAAAGGCCAGATTCATCTGAGGTGCTTCCTGCTTCCTTTGTGTGTGCATTTCAATAGCCCCACAGGAACTTGGTCCAGCACAGAAGAATCCTGCTCACCCTCAGCAATCCACATTAGCTCTTTTGGGCAGCAGCACACATTGGCAACGCTTCACTGTGCTGTCATGAGTTAATACCTAGAAAAAGCACAGCCCTTTCCTGTTTGTGCAGCAGTCTCACTGTATTTAAGCAATCAGACCATGGTTTTATTCCCCTTTCCCTAGGCTGGGAGAATAAGAATGAGAAGGAGTAAAGAAAAATGGAGCAGTTATTTCTGCCTGATGAACTTCCTCCAAAGCCCAATTCTCCTTTTGGAATTCAGTGCCTGAGTCATTCTGAGCAGAGAGATCTGAAGTCAAGAGTTTGAACTCTGTGGTCTAATGCCTGCAGACAGGAAAGGGAATATCACCCAGGTTTTGTGGATCACACAAGCCCTTGGCAGCATCAGGACAAAATGTCACTGGAAACTTGTATTTCTTTAGAAGGAATCAGAGATTCAGTTAATAAATTCTGAGACATCTGTGAGTTTAACATCCTGTGGCTGTTAACACTGATTGCAGAAGAGGCAGCAGACAGCCACATGGCTGCTGCCGTACAGATTTAAAACTTCTCCAATGACATTAAATAAAGAATAGTTCAGGTGTAGGAGAGAGAGAAGTATTCCCCAGGGCTGGAAAGGAGTTACATGGCTATGGTGTGGGACATTTTATAGCATTGCCGTGCAAAAGTGGTTGTAATACAGAACATAGAGAAAATGCAGGTGTCTTTATGTAGAGGGATCCCTAGGCATTGCTGTGAAATGACTGTTACTATGGAGTAGACGGGTGGAGAATTAAATCCATCCCAGGGTATATGAGATGCTGGCGACAATGTAAGAAACTGGGGGGGAAGATCAGTGGAGTGAATCTGACCATCTCAAAAGGTGCTCTGACTGAAGGAGCTGTAGTGATTGTCAGGGTTCATTTACCTGAAGGATAAGGCAGGAAAAAGCCTCTCTTGTCATGCTGCATACCTGCTTTTCCTTCTTAGTTTTAGCCAAGGTAGTGTCCAGCCCTTCCAAGTCATGTTTCATGTTTCTAATTGCTGAGCTACTCCTCCAGCATCCGTTTCCTGGCACTGCTGTCAGCATCTCCAGGGGCTGGCTCAGTAGGGACATCTCTGATTTTGTCATTAGGGCCAGGCACTCCTCAGCATCCCACAAGTGCTCCTGTTCCTAATGAAGGGTTGGGAATCCAGTGTTCATCCTCTGAAAGGCTGCTACAACTCCTGCCTCTTAAGGCAGGAAACTTCCATGTGCAAGAAATGCAAGGTTTTGCCTCTTCTATGGAATTTATTAGGATTCCTTTAGCATACCTGTTGTTACAGCTGATCTGAATCTCCAGGACTCACATTCTTAAGCATGAAAAAATCTGGTTACCATACAGAAATGCTTGCAGTTTAAGAAGATCTTTTAAGGTCACACTGAGCATCAGGGGTTGACCAGAAGTAGGACTCAGGGCTTGTAACATTTGACTCCTTTGCTTTAGCCATGAGGCTTTTCAGGCTTCCCTGTTTTCTAAAGGCTTTACTGCTGTCTGTGAATCTTGTGTATCATCCCCATATGCTCTTCATTCCTTCTGAAAAGGAGCATTTTCTGAGTCACTGAGAAAGCTGATGCCCTGCCTAAATGAATACTAAGCCTTTAAGCATGTCCTATTGGTAACACCCAGCCAGTTGCATGAGGAGATCATCTTTCTCCTGGCTGTCTGCTTCTCTCTCTGTTCTGTGAGCTCCTGAGTCTTTGACATGATGTTTCTCACTACCTTTCAGTTGCATTTCCTCATCCCGTTGGGCCACATTCAGCAATGGCTTCACCTGGAAGTAAGGAGTTAAAGCAGTGAGGTTCCCAAAAGAAGTCTTTTCTGTTGTAATGGTCGCTGGAAGCCCTGAGGTGATCATTTTATTATCAGATCCCAGTATTTCTTGCATGCCAGTGAGAGGCCTGATGTTTCCTGAAATGCCTGTTTAGTGCAGAGGGTTTCAGATCTGTAGAGTAATACAACTGCTAGCAAAGGTTGTTACGGTGCACAGTAGCAGGTCTGTGTGCTAGCACAGAAATTGGGACTGTGTTCCAGATTGTGAACTGATAGGAATGCTGAATGATTCATACCAGTCCAAATGGGACCAGAACCCTTGGAAAGCTCTTTCCTTCTAAGGCTATGGAAGTTCGTTTACTTTGCATTGGAGTTGGGAAGGAGCGTCCTAAGGTAAAAAGGAGGATTTTGTTCCACCTATATGTGAAGAATTGGCTCTAACAGAGTTTTGTTTCACTTTATGTATGTTGGTCCTGTCTTAGAAAACCACCTGAATTACTTGGTCCCATGCTGGGACCAAGTGAAGAGGTTGAGCTGGAGCTGCCCCTTCATGACAACAGCATGGTCTTCCTTAAGGGAAGTGAGCCAAGCAGTTTTGTTGCAGCTTTTCAGTGTTAATGAACAGTGAAATCTTGTATTCCCATGCTCATAACCTCATTGCTTCTCTCTGTACTTGTTTGGTGGGAAGTCCAGGTCTTGAATTTCCAAGACACTCTCTTTCTACTCCCTGGAGGTGGCTTAGACTCAGATTTCAGCGCTTTCTCCATTCACTAACTTTTCTGGCATTGATTTGGAAAGAAATCATTCAGGCCCCTTGCCCTGTTAATAATTAACAAGAAAATCACTGGCTTTCTCAGTGGCTTTACTGAAGTGAACACAGCCTGAACACAGTTATTTTTTCTCCCAGCCCTTATCTTTCCAGCCCAGGCATCCTTAGGTTCTCAGTGCCTATAATTGCTGCTGTTTAATTCTGCAGAACAGGCCAAGCTCAGAGGATTTTCCTCATCCTAATGAACAGTTTCCATCCTCCCCAGAAAAGCAGCTGCAGAAACCTGTGGCTATCCTTCTGCATTGCCATCAGGTGTATCCTGGAGCAAACAGAACATGTGAGGCTTAGAAACAGCTCCCTTTCCAGGTGATGTATGTGGGGGGGCTCAAAGTGTTCCTGCTCAGTCGTACACAGCAGAACGCTGGTGTTGGTGTGGAGTCTCAGTCAAATGGGGTAGGCTTCAATGCTCCACAACCTTCTAGGGTGCAAAGAGGCTCATACAGGTTTGCTGACATAGGAAAAAGGACAACAGGAGTGAATTAGCTTTAAAAAGGCTACTGTGGATGTGGAAATTGAGGCTTTCATGCACTAGAAGAAACAAATAATGCTGGAAATACACAAAGAAGCTGGAAGCTAGTTAAAGGGTGTGTTTTGCCTCCCCTCTTTCCTCTGTCCTGCAGCCACAGATACTAGGAGCAGTGACAGAAATAGTGTCAGATTGAAACCAAAATCCTGTGACTCATAAACATATGTACTGTGGTTGAGTTCCAAGAGACTCACAGCATCACCATGTGGGTTAAGGCTTCCCGACAGGAATAATGCTCACTCCCAAGTCACAGACATCCTCCAGCTATTGGTCTCTGGGATGGGTGCACAGGAGGTAAGGCAGCAGCCTGGCTGTCTGGATGTAGTATTGTTCCACTGCATGGAGCCATGTGGAGAAAGCAGGAAACTTCATTGCTTTGCTATGTACTGGGATGTAGAACTTGGAAGTCCCTGTTTCATTTCATGGTTCTTGGTAGTAAATGAATTCCATTGGTGGTTGGTTTCTAATGGATTCATGGAATAGTTTCTAGAGTTATTTTCCCCCAGGATGCTTTATTCCCGGCATCATTTTGTACTCAATCCTCACCAGGAAGCCAGGAGCACAACACTGCAGCATGATCATGATCTTTGCCAGAGGTGGCCAGGATCCCAGCACAGAAGAGTGTGTTGGAAGACAGGAGCTGCTAGAACCTGGAGTTCCAGGTCACCTTTGGGACTGTGAAACTCTGGATATGCCATGTATTAGCACTCAGAAATGGGGATATTTTCCTTCTTCGGTCTCTGATTGTTTTGCTGTTGTCTGATTCTCTGTTTACATTTACACAAAGGATCAGGTTTGGGGAGGTTATGGGAATGGAAAACTAATATTTAGGAATTAGATTCCATTCACCTTTAGCATGAATTTGCCCAGAATTCTTTAGCCTTTTCTGTGCCCAAGGAGTCTAGCTATAAAAAGTAATACTGGGATCATCATAAGAGCTACTTAAGTGGTATAGAGTAGTGCAGGGGTGGAGGTCTTTTCCTTGATGAAACCTATATCCATTCCGTGCTTTCCTGTGAGAGGAAATGAAAGTACTTTTCCAGTAACTATGAAAAAACACTGGTAGTAATCTCATGGCTCTTGGCTTGAAGAGTAAGAGCAGGGCAGTGTCTGGCCCACTTCAACCTCCATCTCTAAATTGAGATTTAAGGATAGAATAAGCTGGAGGAGGGATGAACACTGTGTAATGATGATAAAAGTTGGGCAATGCAGATTTGAGGTTCATGCAAAGAACAGAACGCTCTCTTCACGCGTGGCTGTTCCAGTAACTACTTTCATTATGTTATGACAAAAACGTATGTGCAAAACTAATGATATATGCTGCTAATATTAGCTACAACAGTCTCTCTCCATTTTCCTTTCCACTCTTCAACTGGATAAATGCTCAGTTAGTGGGATTTTTGCTTGACTCAGGAATAGTAAAGAGCAAGTGAGATTTATCACGTAGCTGAAGGTGTACTTCATTTGCATTCTATTAACTGTACTGTCTGATTAAAAGTCAGTTTGGGGAGCATGTGTCAGAGAGAACATGATATGCATGAGGAAGTGGGTTGCTGTAGAAACTCTAACTCTGCAGCTATATCTCCACCAAAGGCATGCTGAGTCATAACTGCCATCCATTTATTTAGCACAGTTTGGTAGGAGTAAACAGCACCTTGGTATAGCCGATTCCTTTGCTCCTTTCCCCCCAGGTCAGTGGAGCCAAGCAGCAGCATTGATGCCTTCTTATTGTCCACAAACCCTAGAGGGATTAAGCTGGGAGTCAGGCTTTGGTATCTAAAATGAGCAAGACAGGTATAATGATACAAGAGGTACAGTTAGCAGGCTGATCACTTAAGATCAGCTCTGCTTTAGCTTCTTAGCCCTACAAGCATGGCACAGAGATCCTGGTGCTAATGAAGCTTGTGGACATTGCTACCTGCCTGTGCAAAGTGAAAGCTCATGGCAGGGGATGAAGAAGTGTTCAAAGCAGGTTTCATGCCCTTCCCTCTTCCTCAGGATCAGAACATAGGGTGCACTCCTGTGTCATCTGAAAGCAGCAGATGTGTGCTCAGTAATGGTGTTGGAATTCAAACCACATGAGTAACTGCCTGTTCATAGCAGATCTGTTTGCTGTTCACTGCTTTCCATGACTTGCCCTTCCACTTGATTATATATCATAGGTGAAAGCTTCTGTTGCTTTTCCCCTCTGCAGCTCACTATTTCTGCGGTTGAGCCTGCAAAACAAAGGGTTGCAGGAGGCAATGCAGCCTAATAAATGATGGTGCCAATTTGTCTAGTTCCACATTGTGTATTTCCTAATTCTTTGTGCTTCTCTCGTGAAATCAGAGGATTATTGGACTTCCTGGCTCTAGTCCTGGCGCGTGGAAGCATCACAGAGACATTCCATTGGAGAGGTACAAGGTAGTCTGTGAAGTGATGACCCACCTTCTTTCATTCCTGAGTAAAGAGCTGCAGTTGAGCCAGTCACAGCTTGTGCTGAAGGCACTGGGTGGCTTTGCCTGAGGATTGCTTTATCAGACTGATTGACTTCCTTTGGAGCAATGCAGTAGATGAAATGTGGGGATGTGCTGTGCAAAGCAGCCATCAGTCAGTTCAGCAACTCCTGGAATGAGACAAAGGAATGGAGTGAGAGAACTAACAGAAGTTATGAAGGCTGGAGAGAGAAAATCTTCTGGTTTATAAAGTCATTTGTGTTTCACAGCTGGAAACAAGCAAACAAACCAAAAACCCCACATAAAACAAGGTAGGAAGCAAGCCCGGCCATACGTAATCCTAGGGAACAAGGTTACCTGCATGGAGGCAACCTTGGACATGGTGTGAAGCTGCACCAATTTTAGGTAAAAGTTATTTTGTGATTCTGGTTTATAGTTTTAAGTATAGTTTTATATAACTGTTCCTGTGGGGATCACCATCACACGAAGAGTTAAGAGTGGAAGTCCTGCTCCAGCAAGCCTAAAGGAAGAGCTCCATGAACTAAGAACACCAAGTGGCTTTTATTGGCTGGGTGGACCAGCCCCTGTAGACAGAGGCCCATTACAGAAGACAGGCGGCACCCAGTAACCTCACTTGGGCTTATGTGGGAACTCCAGCAGGGCTGTCAGTGATCAAGAGTGTGTGAAATGGCAGCAGGGTGCATAATAAAGCAAACAAGGATGTCTGAAAAGACTGGATTGGTCTCGTCCGTAACCATACCAGCTGCATGCAGCTCTGGACATGATAGATACACTAAGACAGGCTTTTCACTGGAGTGTATTTCCCCTCTTCATTTGTGACTTTCACAGTATCACAGTATGTTAGAGATTGGAAGGGACCTCAAAAGATCATCTAGTCCAATCCCCCTGCCGGAGCAGGAACACCTAGATAAGTACTAAGAGGCTTCTTTAGACCTTTCTTGTCCTGTTTCTAGCACTTATGAAGCTAATGTCAGTGTTGTCTCGGGCACACTGCATCCTCCAGGTGCTGGCCTGCATTTCAGGAGACAGTGACATTATTGTTTGCTCTGCCATATCCTTCCTGTGGGACTCTGCAAGTCTCTTAGAGGGGTTCCAGTTGCCTAAACATAGTGATGTATCACCAGGCACTGCTCCAACAGAGCACAGGTCTCTCTTAAGCCCTGTGTTGTATCTTTTTGCCCCATGTACATGTCCTAGGTACCCCTGGGCATTTTAAATTACACCAATGACACTGGATGCTAAAGTTTCTGTAACTGAATGCCACCTTTCTCTCTTCTAGTTCTGCATTGGTAAGATGAGGGTGACAGCATTGGCCATCTGTGGGCAGGGTTGAAGATAAACTGGGAAGACAGAGCTGCTGCTGGAATACAAAGGCATGGATGATTGCTTATCCTATAGAAGCTGGAAGCAGTCATAAAGGGGACCCTCTTCCCTGCCTCTTGCTGCCACCAGCTAAAATCAATAGTATTGCACAGAATATGTGAGAGATGCTCTTGCAGAGGACTCACACTGAAGTGTGTTATACTGTAGCCTCCAACATAAATCTGTCTTAACTGACTTAAGTCAGCAATTCAGTGCTGTCTGTATAAACTGTTGACTGAATAAAATATGCATCATTTTACCTGCATTCTGCTTTGGTGTATAGGTTGTTCTTTCGTTATGCAATACTCTAAAGCAATCCTCGAACCAGAAACCTCTTGGAAGAGAAGAGAAGCAGTTTCCGAAGCTGTTTGCCATTCACCTTTCAGCTGCAGGGTCCTGGGTTGGGCTGGTGACCATCCCAGTGGGCAGCAAGTTTTGCTGGTTGATAGAAACCTGATATTTATCTGGGCAGCAGGCGGCCTGTGAGTGCCAGGAGGGGATTATGTAGCCTGTTGTTGAGCTGGGGCTGCACTCACACTTCCATCTGTGCATGGTTCTGCGGCAGGGCTTAGCAGTGCCTTCCCCAAGCAAAGGGAACAAACACAGTGTGTACCCTCTGCCTGGCAGTGCTGGAGGGGCAGGATTTCAGGGACAGAGCTAGACTGTCTTTCAGCACACAAGAGGCAGACACAGGCTGTTACCTGGATGAGGAGTGTTACAATGACAGGCTTAATCCTTTCCACAAGAGTGATGGGGAAGCACTGAGCACCAGAACCAATGCTGCTTGCTGACAGTATTGACTGTACTGCTTGGTGTTCCCTCTGCAGCATCCTCCTCTTTAAATTTGACTTAGAGCAGGGCCATGCTGCATCTCTGAAGCAAGCCCACTGCTTCATTCAGGGGATCCTCATTCTTCTGCAGCCACCCTGGACTACTGGAAAGAAGCATGGAAGTAAAGGCATGACCAGTTCAAATACAGTGAGAGAATAACCCAGAAAGCTGATTTCTGATTGTTAACCTGTGTAGAGAGGGGGAGAAGTCCTCTGTGGCTACAGGGAAAGGAAGCGAGTTAGTGCTGGCATGGGAATAGCATTAAAGCACTCCCTAAAGTCATGGGAGTTGTGGGGGGCCTGTACCATGGAAAGCCCATTTGCCCTCAATAAATGATTCTGCAGCACTGGCAAAGCAAAGGGTGTTGCTATTTTTACCTCTTAGGCTCATACACTGACAGAGAGGACAATGGGGCTTATAGACTGGTACAAGCAAGCACAATCAGGACCTATTTGGGCACAAATGTCACTGTCAAAATCCTGCTTGGTAGCAAAGAAAGGAAATAGTTGCTGACTGTAAAAAAGATGGAGCAAAGGGGCTGTGATTCATGCTTTGCTCATGTTCTGTCAGGATGTCTGTGCAGTGGAGTATATGAATAACTGGTGGAGTTTGATAATATGCTTAAATACTGCTCCTGCTGCTAAGCATTAGCATGGCTGCTTGACAACACAGCAGAGAGGCAAGGCTCATACACCAGGAAAGGCTGGACAAGATGCAGGACACTGTCTCTCCAGCCATACATGAGCAACAGAAGCAGAAATGAAGTGAATCCTTTGGCCGGTGTGGCTTTTGGGGAGCTTTGTGATACTAGCAACAAGCTTTGGCTTGAGTTTGGGGGTTTTCTTTCAAGATTATCCATAAGGATTATATATTTGTAATCAAGGCAAGTGGCAACATGTTGAAGAGTCACAAAACAGCCTTGGTGTTCTTTGTGCTGTTGTGTCACTGGGCAGAAAACACTGCACAATCAGTGTTTTCAACTAATCATTACTGGATGCCCATTTCTGTGCAGCAGAGCCAGTCTCTGGATTTAAGGGAGCACAGACACATTCATTTGCACCAGCAAAGTACATTTCCCAGTGTTGCTCTACGTTAAAACCTATGGATATGATTCATTCATGGAGAGGGCTTGGCCTCTGCGTCTTGGCTTCATGTCTGAGCTCACTACATGAGGTTACTCAGGGTGAGAGACAGGGTTTGGCAGAACCCACACTGGTCTGCACTCATTGTTCCACTCTAACACACTGCAGTGCACAAAGTGAGCTCCTTCCCCTTTGCCTCCCTTGGGGTTGAGGGAGTTGGGTGGTTGTTACAGTGACAGCCTTCAGCAGCCATCAAGACCATGCACATCCTGACCCAATCCCTGGTTCTGGCACAGCAGTGCTAAGAGAGCACCTTTCTGCTCCAGTCTGTTCCCTGCTTTCACCCCAGGGCCTGGTGTTGCTCCCTCTGGAGCTCTCAGCTTCAGACCCATGAGCTGAGTAATTTTGGCAGCCACTGTCATAGGGAACATTAACATGTTAATCTGAGTAATCCTTGTCCTATCTCCTCATTGCATACTCAGGTAAATGGTTACAGGCACTGCCTTCAGGGGCAGGGAAGCTCTCCAGCCCTGCTGGGAGCTCACTGGGAAGCACAGAAAGGAAGCATGTCTCAGGTCTGCCCTTTCATCCACACACACCATTCAGCAGAATGCACTGAATGGAGCAGAGGCAGTGATACCCACCTCAGACAAGGTGTTGCAGGAGCTGCTCTGTGTCTGGGTTACCATATGCTCTGCAAGGTATGCACCTGTTTGCTCCACCATGGTTCCAAAACCACCTGCAAAGCAGAGCTGCTCAACAAAGGATCAAGTCCTTAGCTGACAGCTCAACCATCTGGCTAGGCTTGCTGCCCTGTGGCAGCTGGGAATGCCAGCTCTGACTCTCAATAGCACATCTGTTCAGTTCAAATCAGTGTGGTTTTTAAGGTCATTTTATATTCCCTGGAAACAAGAGTCTGGGTTTAGCAGCTTTTCCATCTTAAGGAACTGGCCAAGCTCTTAACATGCTGGTTTGCTGTCACCAAGCTGAGATCTGAACCTCCCTCCATGTTGTCCATCTCTCCCTGCTCCTCTCTTGGCTTCCGCTTGAGCTTCATAGTGCTCAAGTGCATGATACCCCTTTAAGGTTGTAAACATGGACCTTCTCTTCTGGCCTGGATCCCAGGACATCAAAGCCCGTGTGGCAGAAGGGACACAGACCCACACAAGGGAGTTCTTAATCTGCACCATAAACCAGTCCATAGTGCTGAACATCTAAAACCATCTTCCAGCCCACTGGTACTTAACCAGCCAGGTCCCTTCAGACCAGCACAGGAGAGAGCAGCTTAATGTTGTTGTAACCCAGGACTCTGCTTTACTTTCAGTTACTGATCCATGGCAAGAGCCACGTGCAGCTGACAGCAGTTCTAAGGGTTTTGATACTGTGAGTAAAACGCAACACATCATCCAGGATGTCAGCTCATTCCACTCTTCACCATGCGTCTTAAAAACAGCAGGAGCATCCCCATAGAGCAGTTATCCCCATCTCAGCTAGGAGAGATAAGGAGGAAGCAGGAACATCATGCTTTGCTCTCACAGCATGCCCAGAGAAGGGAGCGCTCGTGACTGAGTGTGCCAGGGAATCTTGCAGTGTGTGCCGTGTGAGCCATGACTTGGAACTCCCGGTCTCGGTGGCTATGAAAATCATCTCTGCTTTGTACAAAGGCTTGTTTGCAATGAACAAATCCTGGAAGCTGTAAAACACCAGCAGCTGCTGGAAAGGGCACCCTGAGTTCAGCAGCTGGAGACTGTTTGATCTTTCTGTAGCTCAAGTCCTGCTTATAATAATAGCCTCAGGAGCCAGCAGATATTCCCAATAAGCGCTTTTCAGTTATAGATACTCTTCAAAATGGTTTTTAAAAGGGAAAAGTATGTGTCAGAACCAGACAAAGGGTCAAGTCTTCCTCTTACAAAAGCTTCTCCTTGAGATTACATATGTATGTGAGATGAGCAGGATTTAACCCATGGGCTCTGGCAGAGCTTTCAGATCTGTCACGTTTTCAGGCTTCAAACAAACCCTGTAACTAACTCCTTTGAAGTCCTGCGAGCCCCAGGCCATTGAATGTTAACCAGAAACTCCTGCGTTGGGCTCATTTGCTCTGGACCAGATCTTTTTACATTCAGGCTTCAGCTCACAGACAATTGAACTGATCTTTAGGCCATCCCAGACTGCTCTTTCAGTAGCTTATTTATCCTCAAGTTGAAGAAGCTGAGTTTTATTCCTAAGGGAAACTCAGGCCAGGAGGGGATCGTCCCTTTTGCTGTGTTTTCCATTTCACTGATGTTTCTGCAGCTTGGCTTAGTGAGAAGTATCTCTTCCCCTTCTTAGAACCATGGAATGGTTTGGGCTGGAAGGGTCCTTAAAGCTCATCCAATTCCAGCCCCCTGTCGTGAGCAGGGACACCTTCCACTAGACCAGGTTGCTCCAAGCCCCATCCAACCTGTCCTGGATCACCTCCAGCATTATCTGCTGTGATCACACCTTGAAGCACACAGTGGTAAGGATTAGAATTGAGCACAAGAAGCAGTGGCTGCAGCAAGAGGCAGACCCAGAGGGGACCGTACTACTTGCCATCAGTACAACCAAGACATAACCAAGCTTTTGGGCTGGAGAAGAACTGAGGGTTCTTCTAGGTTTCAATTCCTGAGCACGTTTTGAATGTATCACTTCAGATAAAAGCCTTTTGTGGGATGAGTTGCTTAGGCTTCCTAGGAGATTTTGACACAGCAGCTACATCAAGTAAGTGGGATAGAGCACCCCAACCTTTTCAGTAGCATTGAAGCATGTGTCCTGGCTGTCTCTTTCCTGTCCTGGGGAGAGGTAAGCAATTGACATGAAGCAGCTCAATGTTTCAGTTTGAAAATGATCACTTTTACCTTCGTGGCAGCCCTGCCAGATCAGGCAGGACCTCAGCAGGCATTGATCAAGATGAGGGAGGACAGCTCTCCTTTCCCACTCTGCTCTGCCTAAGGAAAAGTCACTTGCAATCCTCTTCTTCCTGGGTAATTAGTAACAACCCCCCACTACAGAGAGCCTGTTTCCATCTCCAACCAAGCACAGCTCTGGTGAGTAGGTTTCTTATTCTCAAAGCAGAGGATTGAGCAGGGATGTGGGTATTGAACAGCACACACAAAGTGTCATAGCAGCAAGTTCAGGCTTCTTCTTGGAGAGAATGGGACGGAAGATATGATGGTGTCTCTTAGTTACTTCCTGGGAAATGACACATCAATTTTCCAGACGTGGAACACAGAGGGAATCACATCCAGGTGCAGGGAGCAGCCAGAGAATGAAAAATCATGGTCCTATCCATGCCAGTGGGCATTTTGCTTTTGATACCAGTGAAACTAGCATT